AATAAGATTTCAAAGTTCCGCTGATAGAATGAAATGCAATAGATTCAATTTGTCAATTTTTAATGACCAGTTATTTAAAAAAAAAGAACTATATATAAATGGGTATTATCTGGTAGGCCTAATAAATAATGACCTAAGATGGACGTCCACTGGACGTCAAAATACTACTAAACTTAAAATTAAGTCCAAAAACAGACGTTCTCTGGGTATCGTTATTCAGCTGTCAATTTAATTAGCATAAACAGACGTACACTGGATGCCCGGATATTGACGTCCTGACCCTCAAATAGATCTAAAGTGGACGTCCATTGGACTATGTGTGCATAGACGAATTTTTAGAAATAGTACTTATTTAAGTATGCACCAATATTTCCAAAATCAACTCCAGTATGATTCATTCAATAAATGTAAATATGAATGGGCAAAATATTTTTCTATTGACATAATTGTAACTTACAATTTAGCCATAATAAAGGGATTTCGCCAACTTGGACCAATCCTAATTGAAACACGCGAATTTATTTTATTTTTTAAAATAATTTAAACATAATAAGTGGTATTAATATACCATCAAGTAATTTTTTAAACAAGTAATTTTTTAAAATAAAGTACATGATCTCAAAACAAATAATCTATAATAAATGCGGATAAAACGAGGGGTAAAATAACAATAAATTAAGGGAAATACTTAAAAAGGGCAGGTTTAAAGAGTATTATCACAAGAAAATATATCCGTTCTGTTTATTTATCAAGTATTGTTTGAGGTTACTTTTGAATACATTTATTGTTTTTTTTTTTTAATTTCTGTAGGCAGTCTATTATATTTTTTAAACCTTTAATAAAAATTGTATTTTGGGAACTTTTAGTGATGGTTTGCCGTACATGAAAGTCAGATTGGTTTCTTGTATTATAGTTGTGATATTGCGAATTATATTGAATTTTTTCTAATAGATTGATGCGATGGTACTATGTCATTTTTATTTTATAAATAAATATCAGTCATGTACTGAACATAATTCTGAACTGAAAGCCAATTTATTTCTTTTAACATAGTTGCAATACTCATCCTTCTGTCCTTTATTAATAGAATATAAATAGGCAAAGTAAGAAGCCCAAATATTTTACATGAGCAGGCTTAAGAGGTAAAGGGGTCAATTATTATTGGATAAATTGCTCAAACAAGTTTTTAAACCCTAATCAAAAGGCGATATAGAATGGTTTTAAAAATCCAGGCTTGTGAAAATCATCACATGGTTTAACAAACCAAAAAATTCAACGTGCTAATACTACTATCAGCTTTCTATATTTCGTTCCAAGTTAAATCATTTCTCGTTTTTGTTACGCTACGAATTTACCCTTGTGGGCCTCAGTCTCGATAAGGTGGCAACCACCATTTTAGAGTTTCTCGAATTGTGTTTCAGGATTTGCACTTAGAGCAAGTAATTTTAGACAATTTTACATGTACCAAAAGTCTTTTAATTTTTTAGCTGCAAAATGAAATAAAATAATTTATACAAATACTCTGATTTACGGATTACCGCTGTTAATTGTCATTTTAACTAAAATCACTGTCATTACTTGCAGCTACGTTAATGATGAATCTTTGTGGAGTCCCTATTAAATATAACAATAACACGTTTAATCACGTTTGCCCAGTGTACATTAGTAATTTTATTAAATGCATATTTTATTAAATTAATAACATTCTCATTTGATTTTGGAGTAATATTCTTATCACGAATATCTTTTTTTAATTTAGCCCATAATAATTATATGCGGTTAAAAATGCAATAATACTTTTTATGATGTTGTCTACTACATACCCATTGGTAAAATGTCTGACTTCTAAAACTTCTATTAGCTGCTTTTTTAGTATAAGTATTTTTAAAATATAACTCATTTTCCATTAAAAATTGTTGGATCACGGGTTTAGTTGAACTTCTGGTTGGAATTTTGCGAATTAATCTGGAATGATAGGACGCGTTATCTAACACAATAACACTTTTCTAGAGCGTTTGAACAAAACCTCTATTATTGCATGGAGGCCCAGTGTCAGCATTTCCAGCATTTACTCGAGTGACTGGTAAGCATTTAAAAAAAAAAAAATGTTTCCGTTCAACTGATGAAACTGGCAAAAAAAATATTCCCCTAAAATCAAAATTTGACGGGTCCCAGCGTTTTTCGTAAATGACCTGGGGTGCCCAAAATTGGCTCTGAATCTTTTAATTAGAATGTGTTTAATGCCTTGCTATATTAAAGTCACAAACACAGTATCAAAACCAAATTCATAATGCACTAATTTAATAACCCTTTTACATGCCTACGGAGTTATAAAGGCAATTCACTGCATGTCATATTATCTACATTCATCGTAGCATACAATTTCCCGTTACAAAACGTCGCGTCGTAGGCATGGGGGAAAGAAGTATCATGACGTTAATGAACGTCATGGGCAACGAACGTGTTAAACAATTTTATTTGTTTGTTAAAATGTCGAAAATCGAAATGTTGATGAATTAATCATCATTTTAATAAAACTTAATTTACGTTTTCGAGTAATCTTTATTCAGAGGTGAAAAGATGGGCCCTTAATATTATAAATATAATGATTTATTACAGAAATAGTAGGTCTGAACTCGAAGAGATTAAATTTTATTCTCTTTTAGAAATTAATTCTTGTGGGAAAGAAAGCTTTATCTTGTTTTGAATAGGAATAATTAAAACTAATCTATGTTGATTCTACATTGATCAAGATTTTGGAATAGTTATAATGGCATTACTATCAAAGAGATAACTATGTAGTGTAAATAATAGTTATTTATTATATTTCAAAACAAAATAATTGGCAATAGGTCCAAATTAGATTTACGTAATTTAGTAAAAAAAATATATACAAGGTATTGGCTAGGTACATTACAATGTGAATTTATAAAACAATACGACAAGTATTGCAATAATTTAAAAGTATTTTCCCACGTTAATCATTTTACTCGACGACAAGCCCTTTAATTTACAGTGACATGAAAATTGATGTGGCTCAATATTATAAAAATTAAAATCTGTCCCAACATATTATTTTCCTGTCTAGTTATTACAGGCTTTTCCCGGTTATTTTGTATAACCTATTGTATCACCCCTGCAAATGTTTAGGGGATACATACATTTTCACACATTTCTCACTCGAAACATTTTTTAATATAATATATTCATTGCCAACGAAAATACTGAAAAGTTAAAATTTTACAATGTTCCTCAAATTTTCCATTACGGTCCATTTTAGAGTACTTATGTTATAAAATAAAAATTATAGAGAATGACATCAAAAACAACTTCTATTTGAACAATTTTCATAAAAATTCGAGTATTGCACTTTTTGTCAAATTTCTCGAATACGGACCATTTTAGGAAAATTGTGTATAAAACAATAATTTCAGCAGCAATTATTAATTAAAAATTTTCTCAAGCGTAAATACCAAATATATTCCATAAAGTAGAAAATCGACCTTGTATAAAGTACCCCCCTCCCCCAGATGTTCCGACTTTAAAAGTTTCTTAAAAAATGCTATTGATGAAAACGCCTATTGATAGACCTAAGTCAAATCCAGGAATTTTTGAGATACGCCCCTTCGTTATGTTAGCGACGAATTTTCTTAAAAAATTGTTTTTTTTTTACATTTTGTCAAATTTCTCGAATACGGGCCATTTTAATAAAATTTGTATGCAACAAAAATTGTAGAAAATAACATTGCAAGCAACTTTTATTTAAATAATTTTCTTCTCCAAGCGTAAATAAAATAGAAAAACGACATTTTATAAAGTATCCTCCCACCCAGATGTTCCGACTATGCACAAAATCTAATCTGTTCACGCAGAATGGATTAAAGCTTAAGTTTAGAATTTGGTGTTTTTCTCTGTATCCGTTCATGAGTTATCGAGTACTGGTATTAGACACGTGATAATATAATTGCTATAAATACTGACTTGAGAAATTGATTGAACAAAAAATACTGTTCTTATATTGGTCTGAATATCAATTAAATTCTTTTGCTTGTAATAAATAAATATTTTTTTTATTTTGATCCCAAACATCTATATTGTATCTAATTTTTGATTTTTACGTTCAGGATCGCTAGCATCATTGCCCCGTTGCAATCGTTTACGTTCTGCTGCAGTTTTAGGCATAGCGAAACAAAAAAATTATTTTTATTCATTAAACAATTTAAAATCTAATACAGATAAAAATTTTCCTAGAACATTTTTTGATTGAAAATGTAATTGTAACCATTTTTCTACAAGTGAAACATTCTTTGCAGGATTACAGGCAAACTTAATTGTGGCGCAATATTACAAAAAATAAAAATGATGTGCATTAGTTTAGATAATAATTGATAGTTTTCGGCTACTATCATAAGGTCACGTGGAAATCAGTATACATAAATACCGTGGATAACGTACAATAATCATCAGTGTTGCAATCATGTTTGTTTGATAATAATTGTACTTGGTGCTTTATGAATTTCCATTATGTTTTTCATAATAATAAACATATTTCTATTATGAAAAACAATAGAAATTCAAGAATTAAAATTATGAAGTACATAATTGAAATTCAAGAATTAAAATTATGAATTACATAATTGAAATTCAAGAATTAAAATTATGAATTACATAATTGAAATTCAAGAATTAAAATTATGAATTACATAATTGAAATTCAAGAATTAAAATTATGAATTACATAATTGAAATTCAAGAATTAAAATTATGAATTTCTATTATTTATTTTATAATTTTAAATCGGCAATTTTTAATTATGTTTTTTATAATGGAAATACGGGCATTAAAATTATGAAATACATAATTTTAATTCTTAATTACGGAATTAAAATTTTGGAAGAAAATTCTTACTTTTTAAACGATGTTATTTAATATCAAAACGGCACGTCATAGAAATCAGTATAAATACCGTGGATAACGTACAATAATCATCAGTCGCAATCATGTTTCGTTTGATAATAATTTTACTTGGTGCTTTATGTTCTTGCGTTGTAACGAAACCGTCAATCAACTATACAATGCACTATAGTAATTATCGTCATCTTGGAGCCAATTGGTCGACTACGACTAAATATCGAGACGAATCCAGCACATACAAAGTAGTCAATTGGAGAAATTATGCGAATTCTTTAGAAGATTTTATAAATAAATATCCGATTGTTGGTATTCAAACTGCTGGAACGGCCAACTCTTCATCTACAATTGGAGATGTAGGATCTGGAAGATTTGGTAAAGTGACCTTTGAAACTATTCATTTTACCAATGAAATAAAACAAGTATGTATTGTTATTGCTTCACAAAATTCCTTTTGGTGGGATGTCGGAGTATTTATTGGATTTAATTTTCAAGCAAAGAATGAAAATCTTTACATTACACCGTATATAAACGCATGGATATATAGTGGAGGTGCCGTTTGGAGAGAATTGGATATTGGTTTGGAGGCAACAGAAGTCACTTTTATGCCCATAAATGATGATGTAAAACAATTAGATATCGAAATTATAATGATCAGATAATTACGCAAAGGGTGTCTCATTAGTGCGTAATTGTTCAATATTTCAATTTGTGTTATAGACATCTAAACAAGTTTCAAATAAAAGGTACATGAATTTAAAAAATACGTATTTTAAAAATATTTTTGGATATACAGGGTGTGGTGTTTCTGCCTGGAAAATGAAAATATATATTTTTTTAATTAAACACCCTGTATTTTATTTCAGTTTTAGAATGGTTTGGTAATGCTGCATTCAACCCATGAATTTTTCTTCATAATATTGTAGGGTTGCCAAGCAACTAATTTTTTTATGAACTTAGGAAATTATCATAATTTAGGAAGGTTTACATTGATTTGAAAATTGTTTAATAGACATACCCTTAAGATACTATGCTAACGAATAGTGGTGATAGAACTGATTTATTTTGTTTTGAAACATGTCTAACTTAAAGTTCAATTTATTCAATTTTTTCAAATGCAATACACTATATTATTTTAAATAAATCCCTTATGAATTTGCCTTTTCAACGATACCAACATATTATCCAATAACACATATACATCAGTGCGTAATTGATCTATAGCTGTTTTATTATTGGAAATATGAAAAAAAAAAAGAAATAATATAAAAGTTGTATGACCATATTTAACGATTATTTTTAAATATACAGGGTGGTCCATAAATGAGGGGCTGAACAAACCTATACATTTTTAAATCAAATTTGCTATGTTGTATATGGGATGTATCAAAATGCGAAATTATGATTTTTTAAATGGAATACCCTGTATATTATACCACCAATTTTTGATTACATTTTAAAAAATTGACAAAATTGTAAACTCGCGTTTTGACACATACTATATACAATATAACAAATGAATGAAGTCAATTAAAATTGTTTGACAATGTGAAAACAATCAAATATGTATAACCAACTGCACGGTGTTTTGCTTTAAAAATGTATAGGTTTGGGCGGCCCCTCAATTATGGGCCACCCTATATATTTAAGAATAATTGTTAAATATGGTCATACAACTTTTATATTATATATTGTTACGTAATTTGGTAATTGGTACTTTATCATTGGGTATTTTATGTACGCCACACGGTGGTGTATATTGTTTTTTTTTATGTTTTCTATGGTGATTTTATTTCAATTTTTAAAATTTTATTAGAATATTTGAATTGATTTTAGTTAAATTTTTCAAAGAAATTTCTTTTCATTTAAGTTTATAATTGTTGATTATTTATCATTAGGATATTTCTGACTACTTATATTGATTTGTTTATCAAAAACTGGATTTATGGGTTTCGATTAATGATAGGAGATGCTATTGTTGATTCTATATTTTTGAGCTTAAATTTCAGTCTACCTTGGTTAATATCATTATAATATATAAACTATTCGTCTTAAAAACATTAAAAGAACAATGCCCAAGCGCAATTGCACAAGTAACAATGGTGTGGATAACAAGAAAGAAAATTTCTTAGGTAAGTATAAACACAGTGCAGAGTGGTATTAAAATTAAATAGTTGATATAGGTTTTAACGAATAATAAATAAAATGGTTTCTTATCAATGACAGAAATAAGTAATTATTGGAAACTACTCTCTAAATTAGCATACAACATTTATATATCTACATAATAAACACAATTTTATTCATTTATTGCAGATTTCCACCGGATTAAGAAAAACGTAAGAAATGAATACATTTTGTAAATAGAAGTTCGTGGGATCTACAAAATATAGTGTACTCTGTTCCAAGCACTTTCTTAGTTAACATTTTGATTTAAGACCAATAGCCGAATTTTGACGATTAGCTTGACCGTAAAGTGTAAAGGTACACTCATCGGAAAACAAAACATGTTCTAATTGAATCACCATATTATCTAATATTGCCATCATTTGTTCACAAAATTGCGTTCTCTTATCAAAATCGTCTTTCATGGGTTTTTGAGTTGCTATTGTTTTATAGGGATGCATTTTATTTTCTTTTAATGTACGAATAATCCATGAATGGCTAATATCGAATATTGGGGCTGCTTGTCGATTAGAAGTATTTGGGTTTTCCTGAAACTCAAGCAAAATATCCAATTTGATATCATTAGTTATTGCATTTTATCTACCTTACATGTCCAAGCTCGCTAAACTGCTTCTTTATTTTACTAATTCTCCCTTGGGATATACGCGGCAAATTTGGAAATTTTTCATGAAATAAGCGAGCAATTTCCATTCGTGTCCGTGTAATTATCTCCATAACCAATCATCCGTAGAATTGTTATTTTGTGCATTTCTGCTAAATGAACCATTTTTCTGATATGTAATTAAGGAAAGTCAAACGACTATAACACTGACAACTACTGTCAAGCAGTCAGATAACAATTTGCTAAGGTTAGGCATTTTAAACAAAAATAAACATAACTATTTAAGTACATTTCAAACAATTTATCAATCATTGGTTTCTCTATAGCTATCAACCATTATTTCCGAAAAAGTTTTGGTATGGTATACAATAAACCATAAAATAGTAGTTTGTGCAACAAAATGAGCACAACGTCGGCGCCGTAGGCAGAGTGGTCAAACGTCTGAGTGCTATATGGACAATCCACTCGAGTTGTACAATATACGTTTTCTACGAGCCACTAACGAAATTTTACAAATTAAAAAATTTTAATTTACTAAGACAACATAGCTTATTTTAAAGTAATTTATGAATTTTACTGATTTGTAAATTAAAATAAACACAAAGGAGATTTAATTTAATTAGTCCCCGGGCTTTTCGCGTGGAAGGGAGATGCTCTGTCCTCACCTCCACCGTCACTTTTAGGATATTTGTTTTAATACTCGTAATTAAATTAGTTTCATGTAGTTTGATTAAAATTTAATTTTTTTGAGGAGAAGCTCCTCTTGGCGGCGTTGTCAGTTACATTAAATCTCTAGGCTGGCTCATGAGCTAGGAGGTGCCTATCTACTTAGGAGGATGCACAATGGGCCTAGTGAGGCTCAAGTTTCGTGGGTTAACCCACCCTCCACACGTTACATATACAGATACTATGAGGTATACAACTGGCAATGACAATGACAAATATCAACAATTAAACTCGTATTCCTCGCCACTCACACTCAGGTGTAGTTTTTTTATACACAACTGCAAGAAGCATTCTATGGTATATTTATACGCTAGATGTGGACCAGAAAGTTCATATAAAAATAAAAATGATGCACATTATCGCGTAGATTATTCCGCCATTATCATTAAAGTTCAGAGGTTATTAAAGCAATGGTATTCCACGAAATCTATGGGAAATACACGTAAACAAAAACAACGACCCATTGCAATTGATATATGTCTGAATATCAATTAATTTGTTTTGTTTGTAATAAATGAATAATAAAAATAATTTTTTTATTTCCATTCGATCCCAAACATGTATATTGTATCTAATTTTCGATTTTTACATTTAGGATCATTAGCATCATTGCTCCGTTGTAATCGTTTATATTCTGCTACAGTTTTAGGCATAGCGAAACATTTTTTTTATTCGTTAAACAATTTGCAATAATCTAATACAGATAAAATTTTCCTCGTACAATTTTTGATTGAGGTTTTTCCACAAGTGAAGCAGGATTACAGGTAAATTTAATTGTGGCACAATATTACAGAAAATAAAAATGATGTGCATTAGTTTAGACTATCTCCCTAGACCAAATATCAGCGACTATGATTAATTACCTTGATTAATATTCCGCTATTTCTCTAACATTTTACAATTTGATTCTACATAATTTTGGCATTAATAAACAATTTATTAAAGCACTCGAGCTAAAGCTCTCTGGCTCTAATCAGATTATTAATGCCAAAAATTATATCTCATCAAACTGATATTAAAATATTCTCGAGATTTAGATTTAACAAAAATAGCCGACTATTATCAAGGTCTTGGTATATTACCCTTGATAATAATGGATTTTTTTCGGCTACTATCATGAGGTCATGTGGAAATCAGTATAAATATCTTGGATAACGTACAATATTCTTCAGTCGTAATCATGTTTCGTTTGATAATAATTGTACTTGGTGCTTTATGTTCTTGCGTTGTAACGAAACCGTCAATCAAGTATACAATGCGCTATAGTAATTATCGAAATCTTGGAGCCAATTGGTCGGGTACGGCTAAATATCATGACGAATCCAGCACATACAAAGTAGTCAATTGGAGAAATTATACGAATTCTTTAGAAGATTTTATAAAAGAATACCCTATTGTTGGTATTCAAACTGATGGAGCGGCAAATTCTCCATATATAATTGGAGATGTAGGATCCGGAAAATTTGGTAAAGTGACCTTTGAAACTATTCATTTTACCAATGAAATAAGACGAGTATATATTGTTGATTCTTCACGAAATTCCTTTTGGTGGGATGTCGGAGTATCTATTGGATTTAATTTTCAAGCAAAGAATGAAAATCTTTACATTACACCGTATATAAACGCATGGATATATAGTGGTGGTGCCGTTTGGAGAGAATTGGATATTGGTTTGAGGGCAACAGACGTTACTTTTATGCCAATAAATGATGATGTAAACAATTAGTTATCGATATTTTACCGATCAATTAATTTTTTTTTGTGTATAATAAATATAATATTACTTTTGCATTTTTATTTTATAAGTTGCTGCTAAGTAGTTTATGACGTCATCAAACAAATGACCTTGAATTTCTCAAGATCACGCATCTCATGGCGGGAAGTTTGAATCGAATCATTTTGTCTATCTATCTACTATCTACTAATAAGCTGATTCAGAATGTTGCTCAAATACTAAAGCAGATAAAAAAAACAACCTATGACACTGATTCTAACTATGCTCTGGATAGCGAATTCGATGACGACTAAATTTACGTTTTGGAGTGAGGGTAGCCATATGTGAGTAGTAGGGATTAAGTATAAGGGGTTAAGAAAAGGTCCTTTATTTCTCACACGTCAATTTTAATTGGCGACCGGTTTCGAAGCTATTGCTTCATCATCAGGCACACCTAAATGGAATGTCAAGGAGTCAGTAGTAATAAAAACAATTATAAAAGTATGAACGGACATTAACATATACAAAGTAACAGAAAAAAACACAAAAGAAATTAAACAATGACCTTGACTCACCTTGACTATTTCCATAAAGGAAGTGCTACATAAAGTTTAACAAAACGAGTTAAAAAAGTCAGAAAAGTCATGTAATACCTACAATAGTATTTTTTTAAATATATTTTTAGGTTAGGTTAAACCGCGAGATGTCTGATTGAATAAATTAATTAAAACACATGTAAGACAATTATAAAAAAAATTTTTTTTTTATTATATAAAATGCCATGCTACAATTAATTTTAATTTTTTTATTTTGGAGCATGTTTTTAAATGGTGACTATTATGTTTTTTATTATACCAAAAACTGTATGTGATATATGTCGAAATTTAAGAAAAAACAAAACGTAGTGGTTGACAGACTTTGCATTTCTCATTGCTACTAAACATGAATGTTTAAAGCAGTTCTTCAAGGGCACCATTCATTTGTATGTAAAGGGCACTATTAATAAAGTTGCCAAATTTCGATGACCTAAAAACTTTCATAATAATGGCTAAAAAAGAAAATTTTAACTTTCAACACCCTGCATTTCCTAAATAATTTTTATAGGGTCCCTAGTTAACCGATATTCCATTTTTAATGAAACACCTCATATTTAATATGAACAAAGGATATTGGATTTAAAATAGAACAGTAAATAGTACAGTATTCTTTATTCTAGAAAAATATTTGAACAGAGATAAAATATTATAATAAAATCAAACTATATGATCTATAACAAACTTTGAAACTAAAATTATTAATATAATAATTAATTGAACAGGTATAGGTATACACATTTTTGAAGTTTTTGTTTAAACGGTTTAGTGGCAGTTCAACAATGTTAAAAAAATTGGAAACCTATGAAAGATTTTCACAAATACATCATTGTGGTTCATTTTCTGCCTTTTTATGAAGTGTGATAGTGATGCCCAGTTTAAAACATAGGTATTTTTAAGGTTAAAGTATTTTTAAGTATTTTTGATGGTACCTATCTTATATCAACAACTAATGTAGCGACAAACCCCCAATAAGCTAACTACATAGCGTTGACCTTACAAGGCTATATCATCAAGTAAAAAAGGATAAAGGATAAACTTTCAAATTCAAGTACTTGTCCGAGAATCCTGGAAACAGGAATTTCCAATACAAGCTGAATTAGTCTGGTATATAGACGGTCCAAAAACCAATGAAGGTATCGGTGGTGAAATCTTTGGACCCAGGTTGAAAACAACTATTTTACTAAGTCTAGGAAAATATGCAACAGTGTTGCAGGCCAAACACTGTGCAAGAGAAATAATCAATCAGTAAGTATCAAGCAAAATTAATGCCATTTACTCTGATGGCCAAGAATCTTTAAAAGCAATTCTCTCACCAGAAATTAAACTACGACTGGTTAAAGACTGCCTGAAAGTTCTGGCAGAGCTAATCAGTCGAAACAAAGTGCCCTTAGCCTGTAAATAGGCCACGAGGGACATCAGAGCAGTAAAAAGGCCGACGAACTAGCACGAGAAGGATCAGATAAGGCTATGACAGACCCTGAACCTTTCTGTGGAGTTACCAAGGTATTCTGCAAGGCATCCATCAAACAATGGATGCCTTGCCAGATGGCTGTTCAGGATTGAAACAGGCCAAAGAGTTAATTAAGGAACAGTTGGCCAAATTCACGAAAGACCTACTGGATTAAAAACGACAAATCGTTATGATAACAGTAAGGCTTCTTGCAGGACACTGTCGCCTAAAAGGCACATTACTGTCTTCAGTTCAGCAAAAGAAGCAACAATAATGTTGTTTCTGCATAAGCAGGTTTGGTTAAGAAGAAGAGGAAACATCAATCCACGTCCTGTTCTAGTTTAAAGGTTTAGCCTGTCCTGGCTGGATTGATATTGATACGGGAGCCACTTTCAAAGCTAAGTCTAATAAAAAAAACCAAGACGACATACTCTAAATAACACAGTCTCACAATAGATCTGAAAAGGTCGTGGTGAACAAGGACAAATAACATCCACCTTTCAAATCTAATCTAATTTACACTTTGGGTACCAATATTTCTTATAATATGATTTAATTTGTATGAAAAGATACAAATTGCATTGTTACAAATACATTATGTAGCTCTCTTATCTTATACGGGACTGTTTGAAAGTCCCTATAGAGTAGGACAGTCAAAATAATAACCAGATCAATAAAGGAAACAGAAGGCTTTCATATAAAACTCTGATTGGCCTAAAAAATGTTTGTAATGTGACAATAACATTCAGTCTGGACCAGTGGATATTAGCCAAATATGTGTAAAGTGATTTACTAACCCAGGATAAATAGGTACTATAGTACTATTAACAGTAACTATTAACAAGTCATTTTAGACTTCCATCAACCTGGCACAAGATACTTTTTATCGATTCTATCAAGAACATTAGGAAACCTTTGTTATGTATGTATCAACTTCTAAATAACCTTAATAGATTTGCAAAGCTCAAGAATATAAAATTTAGTATTGTATATCCAATAGCAGATTTAAAATTTAAAGTAAAAATTCGTGACAATTTAAAATTTATAATATCTACTAGATTTCTTTAAAAATGATTTCAAAAATTCCATACATTTTAGAAAACAAACTGCATTCACTATACGTATCACACTACCCTTTAAAATTGCAAAAATTTAAGTTAATACAAAAGTGGAGAGAATTGCCTATTGAACGCATGTTTAACATGATAGTAATAGAAATTTCCGCTGGTTTTAGTCTTCTCTACCATTTCCAAATCGCTTTGAATTCTTTTGGTGTACATGCGGTATAGCATAACTTTATCGGAAAAGGTCCTTAATACTCTTTCTGCCCAAGTCTGTGCCCTCGGAATTTCTCTGCATACGCCCCTGGCTCTTTTATCTAGGTAATCCATGACGTCGTCATAGTAGTTTTTCCTGTACATGTAGAGGTATTTGTAAGGAAGAAATTTCGGCCTGAAAGAATAAAAGAGTGTTAAATATAATAGAAGAAAAATACGTTTTTATAGGTATTAAAAATAGCTGTTTCTTTTAAAAGCATTTAATCAGACACAGTTTAGATAGAAAACGAGAAGCATATTATAATCAAAATATTGATATTTTACTTTAATAATACCTACCTACTAATATTATACATGTTTTCCAATATTTTTCATAGTCAGTATCTTAATAATTTTAAAATTTCCGATAAAAATAGGCACATCGTAACTTTTTCTAATTAATTGTTATACTTATTATGATTTATTTAAAAATTAGTGTATTAAACTGGACCTTTTAACTGGAATTACATATTAGAGAATATTTATTGTTCGAGGTCTGGAAGAAAATTAATAAGACTGGGAATATTGCAAGCGATCTGACAATCCTGCGCTGTTGTCCTTGAGAGAGCACGTGTATCAGAACTCAGAACCCTCCCATAGCTCAGTTCGAGTTTCTACTCCATCCGTTATTTACGTGATTTTCGAGACTGTGATTAATGAAGTTGTGTTTTCGTTGTGCGTCTCGCAGAAGGACATGCGAAGAAACAAGTGTCTTGATCTTCTGGACAGAATCGCTAATGAGCAAGATTTCCTTAGTCGTGTCGTCACAGGTGATGAAACGTAGATTTTTGAATACGATCCTGAGACCAAGAGGTAAAGTGAGGAGTTGCACATTCCAAACTCTCCTCTACCAAAGAAAGCTCAAATGAGCAAATCAAAGATCAAATCAATGCTGATTTGTGTTTTTGACAGAAGGGGAACTGTCCGCAAAGAATTCGTTCCTCCAGGACAAACTGTTAACCATTTTTTTTATAAAGCCGTCCTTGAAAGGCTCAGAAAAAGGGTCATTCGCGTGAGACCAGACATTGCAGAGAAACGGTTGCCCCATGGCACATAACAAAATATTTGACCTCAAAAGGCATTCCTGTGGTTCCCCATCCCCCTTATTCCCCTGACCTCAGTCCCTGTGACTTCTTCGTTTTTCCTAAACTGAAGAATGTCTTCATAGGCCGTCATTTCGGGACTTTAGAAATCATCCAAAAGACTGTAACGGACATGTTTTAAACCATAACGGTTGAAGACTTCCAGTGCTGCTACGAATAGTGGGAACAACATCTCCATCGGTGTATAGGAGCCCAAGGGAACTACTTTAAAGGAGATAACACTTATGTTTATTAATTATTCTTAATAACTGAAAAATGTACTAACAATTAGTTTGACAGAATTGTTACTTATTTAAAATTTTAAAAACTAATTGTAGTTGGATGTCCAATATATAAACTGTGATTGGTGGATTTCATTTTTTGCAGTGTCTTCACTACCTAGAATGGATATGAAATATATTCGTTCAGTTCAACGCAATGGCATACTTTTTCGTTTAGTAGTCTGTGCGTAGATAAGCTAATATCCATGTGAGTGTAGAAAATAGTAGTTTGTGGAACAAGAGGGGATAGCACAGGAAGCCGAAGTTGGAGCACGACCCTGTAGACAGAGTACTCAATCGTCTAAGCGCGATACGAACAATCCACTCGGGTTATATAGTATATACTTT